ATGCCTGTAATCCCAGGATGTTGGGAGGCTGAGTCCGGAGGATTGCTTGAGCCCAGGAGTTCTCAACCAGCCAGGGCAGCAGCCCTGTTGTTATGGTCCGAGTGATGCTCAGCTGCTCTCCCTTGATACTGATAAAAGGGCAGGGAACTGGTACAAAGAAGTTTATTTTTGAATTCGAATCCAGGGAGCAGAGCCATACTCGAGGTCTTTCTAAAATGGTTTTGCCCACCCTCCAGGCTTTTAAAATTCACTTTTATTTAAAAAATTTTTTTTTAATTTTTTGAGTTGGAGTCTCACTCTGTCATCCAGACTGGAGTGCAGTGGCCGCTCCCAGCTACTGCAGCCTCGACCTGCTGGGCTCCGGTGATCCTTCCACCTCAGCCTTCCAAGTAGCCGGAATTACAGGCGTGAGCTACCACGCCCAGCTAATTTTTTGATTTATTGTAGAGATGAGGTCTTGATGCCCAGGCGGGTCTCTAACCCACAGGCTCAGGCAATCCACTCACCTCAGCCTCCCAAAGCACTGGGATTACAGGCTGAGCCACCGAGCCCGGCTAAAATTCACTTTTATAAGTCCAGAGTTGTAAGTACCTATACATTAGCCATGTGACCAGCAGAACTGTATAGAACTTGAGTTTCAGTCGCATTTATCAATAGTGACATTTTTCAGTCCAGATTTCCTATTGCCCAGTGTCAGAGGTATCTCATAGCTTTTATCAGTAGGGCCCAGCAGAAGCGTCAATCAAGCTTGCCATAGAGTAAAGGGAGTTTACAAGACCTAAGACATCATGTATTACACAAAAGTTATACAAATCACAAAGCTTATGATTACATTGATACACAAGTTATACAAATTACAAGACTTAGGATTACATTGATACTATATTATTCAAACTTATGACTATTCAGAAAAAGGGAGTAAATGGGGGTTTCAGTTGATTGGACATAGTCTATAGAGAAGTCAAGGAGTCCCTGAAGCTACTTACTGGGAATGCACAGGAGATAAGGGGACTCTCAGGAATGTTGTTCAGGAATGTACAGAAGCACTTAAACCCTTGCCATGCCCTTGTCTAGGGGCTCTGTGCCACTTGTTTCTACAAAAAATGAAAAATTTAGCAGGGCATGGTGACTAGTGACCATAGTCCCAGCTGCCTGGGAGGTTGAGACAGAAGGAGTTCGAGGGTACAGTGGCCGTGATCATGCTACCACACTCCAGCCTAAGCAATAGAGACTTTGACTCAAAAAAATAAACACAATACATAAAATAAAATAACATTTGTGACTTAATGTGGAATAACTAGCTCTAAGAATTGTTTGACTCTTTGTATTGTCTTTCTTTTTTGGAAGAGGGGAGATCTCAAGATATTTCTAAGGGTCTTAAATATATATTTATATTTATGTATTTACTCATTAAGTTATTCAACAAGTATTTATTGAATGCCAGATTCTGGTCTGAGTATATAAATATTAAAAAGTCATTGTTCCCTTGGAGGATCTGCAGATCTAATTAGATAATAAACCAGGAATGGGATCCTTCCAGAAATTGCTTAATCCCTTTGCAGCAGGAGATGTTCACCAAGTCTCTAGAGTGCGGTTCTTTCTAGATAAATCCTGGGCTAGAAGGTTACCTCTTAAAGATAAGAACTGTCAGGGAAGAACCTAAGGTTTCTCTTATGATCAACAGCTGCTGACTGGAGCACTGAGGTCATATGTGTAAGGTTAAGGAATGATTCCCAAGTCTCTGATGCCATTTGGTGCAAGAAGCAATGCTGGATGTGGAATCTAAGGGCCTGAGTTTGAGTTCCAAAATGAAGCAGCTTATCTAGCAAGGGAGATTTCTGCCTCCCTTACTAGATAAGCTGTTTTCTAATTTTCAGCTTCAGTTTCCTCCTTTGTAAAACAGGGACACTAATTAAGGAGATAATGGGTATAAAAAAGGGCCCTTCCAATGGTGCAGCATTCTACAAATGCTAATGACTACTTACAGTAGCACAGTCTGCTGATTTTGTTCTTATGGTTTCTTTCTTCCCTTTGGTATGTTATCTCCATCTTCTCATGTCCAGATTCCTTCTATATGAAGACTCAAGTCAAAAAACATGTTCTCCATGATGCTTTCACTTACCTCTTTCAACTAAAGGATCTATCTCTTCATTGATCTACCACACCCCTTTATCTGCAATTTTCTTGTGGCATGTAATACAGCCCATTTTGATTGTCAGCTCCTTGACTGTTAGACTATCAGTATTCAAAGTCCTTCTCTTTATTCATACTTTGGGTCTAGGACAAGGAAGCAATGGGTTAGTATTAGTGACATGGTGACCTTTTTTTTTTTTGAGTCAGAGTCTCACTCTCTTGCCCAGGCTGGATTGCAGAGGCACCATCATGGCTCACTACAGCCTCCAACTCCTGGTTCTCAAGTGATCCTCTTGTCTTAGCCTCCCTAGTAGCTGGGACTCTAGGTGCATGCCACCATGTCTGGCAAAGTTTTTCATTTTTTTGTAGAGATGAGGTCTTGCTATGTTACCTAGGCTGATCTCAAACTCCTGGGCTCAAGCAATCCTCCCACCTCAGCCTCCCAAACTGCTGGGATTACAGGTGTGAGCCACTGTGCTTGGCTGGCATGAGGACTTTCATGTGACAAATGAAGAATTAAGGGGTTCTGGGTCTTTTTGATAATTAAACATTTTCATGCCATAAAACTCCTCTGGTTTCATCTCTCACTGGCTCCCAGACCCCACCCCCAGCTCTTACAGGGCCTAGGGTTGGGCAGTTTGCTCAGCAATGTTCCCAGTCTTTAGAAAGAATTTATATAAGCTAGGGAGCTTTTGGGTGAAAGTGATAGAGGCTTGACTCAAGCTGGTTTAAGTCGTCATGAGATTATTATTTATTATCTCCATAAAAGGAAGTTTCAAGGCAGAGTGGGCTCCAGGGCTGAATGATTCAGGGGTTAAGTGATGCCATCAGGGGCGGAGCTCTTCTGTCTTTTTTTTTTTTGAAGTTGGAGTCTCACTCTGTCGCCCCAGCTGGAGTGCAGTGGCCGCTCCCGGCCATCGCAGCCTCGACCCGCTGGGCCCCGGTGATCCTTCCGCCTCAGTCTTCCGAATAGCTGGAATTACAGGCATGCGCTACCACACCCGGCTGTTCTTCTGTCTTTTTACCCTGTGGTTCACTTTACCCTTGTAATCATAGGATGGCCCCCCCCAGCAGCAGGTGGTAACTCAGGGCATATATTTCCTTGTTAAAGTGGGAGAGACTTACTTCTCTTTCTCAGAAACTGAGCAAGCTTCTCTTGAATCTCACTGCCCCAAATGATTTAGTCCTGCTCATCCTTGATCCAGTCGCTGGCCAAAGGGAACAGAATTACCTTAATTAGCTAAGACAAATTGTTTGGAATAGAATGGGTGTTGGACAGCTGTGGTAGACTGTATTTTCCCAAGTTGGGCATGACAATATCTGCCTCTCATGTGCTCTTACAATGAGATCTTAAACCTCTTTTCACCAAGAGGTGGGTCTTTTTTCCACCTCACGAATCTGGGTGGATTTGTGTCTTCTTGGGACGTGAGATGCTGTGTGATTTCAGAGACATTGATTTTAAAAGGTGTGTGGCAGCTCCCTGGTTATCTCCTGGGACACTCACTCCCAGAATCCATCCACTATGCTGTGAGGAAGCTCAAGCTGCCTGGTGGACAGAATTATATTGAGGGGAACCAAGAACCAGCCCCAAACTTCCAGCCGTGTGAGTGAGGTGCTTGGATGTGGATCCTCCAGCCTCAGTCGAGCCACCCCATCTGACGCCATGGGAGGTGGAGGAGAGCTGTTTATACGCCACTGAGTTGCCAGGAGTGGTGGCTCATGCCTGTAATCCCAGCACTTTGGGAGGTGGAGGTGAGAGGATTGCCTGAGCCCAGGGATTTGATACCAGCCTGGGCAACTTGGTGAGACCTCATCTCTACAATAAATGAAAAAATTAGCTGGCTGTGGTTGTGTGCACCTGTAGTTCCAGCTACTTGGAAGGCTGAGGTGGAAGGATTGCCTGAGCCCAGCAGGTCAAGGCTGCTGTGGCCATGAGCATACCACTGCACTCTAACCTGGGCAACAGAGTGAGACTCTAACTCAAAAAAACAGAAAAAAGAGAAAAGCCACTGAGTTTTGAAGTGGCTTGTTATGCAGCAATAGATAACAAGAACAAGGTCCTGCTACAAAAATAATTGTTTCCTCACTGCTTTCTCTAGTGTCTTACTCTCTTTGTCATTAAATTAGTTAGATGTCAAGTGCAAGTCCTAAGGTGAGGACCACTGAGGAAAGATTTGAAGCCTAAAAGAAATTTTATTGTTGACTGGGCACAGTGGATTATGCCTGCAATCACAGCACTTTGGGAGGCTGAAGTTGGAGGACTGCTTGAGCCCAGGAGTTTGCGACCAGCCTGGGAAACATAGTGGGACGCTGTTTCTTTCTTTCTTTAACTTTAAGAACATGGGTTACAACTCAGGGTTAGTTATACAAATGTCCGTTATGCAGATACCCTTGTTGATGAGGTGTGGCCCGCCCCTCCCCTGGCAGTTTCCCAGTACTGCTAATCCCTTTCTTATAGTATTATGATAGTTGTTCAAGGTCCACTTATGAGTGAGAACATATGATACTTGGTTCTTTGTGGTAGATCACTCAGTATTATAGACTCTAAGTTCATCCAAGTGACTGCAAAATCATAATTTTGTCCTTCTTTATGGCTGTGTAATATTCCATCATGTATATGTGCCACATTTTTTTTATCCAGTCCTCTTTCGGTGGGCAGCACAGTTGGTTCCATGTTTTTGCCATTGTGAACAATGCTGCAATAAACATGCGTGTGCGGGTATCTTTTTCTTTTCTTTTTTTAAAATTTTCTTTATTTCAGAACTGCCTTTATGTACAGACATCATTTAAAAAATGCACATACACTCAAGATTTTCCAAGGAACAAAAGTTGGAAATAAAATTTACAGTGATTAGAAGTAGGAGCTGGAAATAAAATTTACGGGCAACTAGAACTGAAATTGTCCCACAGAAGTTCTGAGGATCATGCTTCCTTAAATGTCCTTGATAACCTCTTCCAGTTCTTCCTTTGTGAACATGTGGAAATTCTGGCCAGGCTGCACTGTGGCTAGCTCTGTGTTAGTTGCATTCAACTTCTCCTCCATTACTTGTTTGAGTATGATAAGTGAAGATTTGATGGCTTCTTTCAGAGTCATAGACTTGTGGTAAACTTCTTGCAAGGAGCTCTGGGCACCCTCTGAAGCAGAGCCAATTGCTCGGGCATCACACTGTACAAAGGTCCCCGATGGGTCCATATGAAACAGCTGGGGTCCTTTCTCATCAACTCCTCCAAATAACAGTGCTACTCCAAAGGGATGAGACATGGCACCTGGATCTGCATCTTCTTCTCCAAACTGCAGAGCTAGATTGGACACAGCCTGAGTCACACTCTCCACTGTCATCGTCTCATTGTAGGTGAACCAATGATTCTGTGTCTCCACTCTGACTTTATCAAAGTCTTAGCATCAGCAATTAGCCCACTCATGGCACAACCTATGTGAGCATCAATCTCTACAATTTTCTCAATGCTGCTAGGCTCCATGAGTGGGGAGGTGATTCTCTTTTCCACAACTAGGCACACACCTTGTGATGTCTGGATCCCAGTGACTGTAGAACCAAGCTTGATAGCTTCAATGGCATATTCCACTTGAAATAATCTTCCTTCAGGAGAAAAAGTATTCACACCCCTTTGTCACAAGACAATTGAGTATTGAATTGTCAGAGAATCAAATAACTTCGTAAAGTGCAAATCACTGTGACTGTAGTCTTTTTTTCACCCTGTCGTACTCAGACCGGGTGAGAAACATGGCGAGGGCAGGAGAAGGCGGCAGCGGCTACGCTGGGATCCTGAAGACCAACACGACTCCACCAGCACCCAACTCACCCCACACCGCCACAGTACCAAGGGCCCTGCTTGCAACCGGGTATCTTTTTCATAGAGTGATTTGAGTGCCTCTGGATATATTCCCAGTAGGGGGATTGCGGAATTGTATGGGAGGTTGCTTTTTCTATCTTTTAGGAATCGCCACACTGTTTTCCACAGAGACTGTACTGGTTTGCACTCCCACCAACAGTGTAGAAATGTTCCCTCCCCCCCCCAATCCTCTCCAGCATCTGTTGTTTTTTGAGTTGTTGATGATGGCCATCCTGACTGGAGTTAGATGGTATCTCAGTGTGGTTTTGATTTGCATTCCTTTGATGACTAGTGAGGCTGAGCCTTTTTTCATGTATCCGTTGGCTGCTTGTGTATCTTTTGAGAAGTGTCTAGTCATATCTTCTACCCACTTTTTTTTCTTTTAAAAATTTATTTATTTTTATTTTAAATATGTGGGGTACAATTCAGGGTTAGGGATACAAATGCTTATTATGCAGGTACCCTTATTGATGAGGTGTGCCCCCTCACCCCCCGGCAGTTTCCCACTACTGACAATCCATTCTCGTAGTATTATGATAGTTGTTCAAGGTCCGCTTATGAATGAGAACATGTGATACTTGGTTCTTTGTTTCTGTGATAGATCACTCAGTATTATAGCCTCTAAGTTCATCCAAGTTGCTGGAAAGTTCATAATTTTGTTCTTCCTTATGGCAGTGTAATATTCCATCGTGTATATGTACCACATTTTTTAAATTCAGTCCTTTTTTTTTTTTTTTTTGAGTTGGAGTCTCACTCTGTCGCCCAGACTGGAGTGCAGTGTCACACTCCCAGCCCCCGCAGTCTCGACCTGCCGGGCTCCGGCAATCCTTCCGCCTCAGCCTTCCAAGTAGCCGGAACTACAAGCGCACACTACCACGCCCAGCTAATTCTTGATTTATTTTAGAGACGAGGTCTCACCAAGTTGCCCGGGCAGGTCTCGAACCCGCAGGCTCAGGCAATCCACTCGCTTCAGCCTCCCAAAGCACTGGGATTACAGGCTGAGCCACCGAGCCCGGCTGTATATATATTTTTTAATTTTAAAATTGTGGGGTACAGTTAAGGGTTAGGTATACAAATATTCATTATGCACGTACCCTTATTGATGAGGTGTGCTCCCCTTTCCCCAGACATTGACTACCATTAATCCCACCTCCCTGCCCTTCCCTACCCCCCATAGTTTCCTGCCACTATCAATCCTTTTCTTATAGTATTACAGTAGTTGCCCACTTTGTAATGAGGCTTTTTTTTTTCTTTTCGGCATGTTTGAGTTCCTTGTAGATTCTAGATGTAGGCCTTTGTGCGATATACAGTTGACAAATATTTTTTCCCAGTCTGTGGGTTGTCTCCCCAATCTCTTGATGATTTCTTTGGCTTTGCAGAAGCTTGTCAGTTTGATGAGGTCCCACTTGTCTGTCTTATCTCTTATGGCATTGGACACTTTGGGGTTTTGATCAGGAATTGGTTGCCAGTTCCAATTTCCATAAGGGTGTCTCCTGCATTTTTAAGGTTTTTATAGTTTGAGATTTTGTATTTAGGTCTTTGATCCATTTAGAGTTGGTTTTTGTGTATAGGGATAGGTAGGGGTCTTGTTTTAATCTTCTGCATGTGTTCAGTTTTCCCAACACCATTTATTGAATAGGTTCTCTTTTCCCCAGTGGTTGATGGTGGAGGCTTTGTTGAAGATGAGTTGGTTGAGAAATTGAGGTTTTGCTTCTGGAATCTCTATCCTGTTCCATTGGTCTACATGCCTGTTCTTGTACCAATATCAGGCTGTTTTGATTATTGCAGCTTTATAATAAAACTTAAAGTCTGAGAGGGTGATACCTCCCGCTTTGTCTTTTTTTGCTGAGGATTGTTTTGGCTATTTGAGGTCAGTTATTTCCATATGAATTCCTGTATTGTTATTTCCAGGTCTCTGAAGAATGCTGCTGGTAATGTAATGGGTATTGGATTAAATATGTAGATTGCCTTGGGTAGGATAGACATCTTAACAATGTTGACTCTTCCAATCCATGAACATGGAATACTTTTCCGTTTGTTTGTGTCATCTTTGATTTCTTTGAGCAGTGTTTTGTAGTTTTCGATGTAAAGGTCTTTCACATCTTTGGTTAGGAAGATGCCAAGGTATTTCATTTTTTTTTTTGGTGGCTATTGTGGTTGTGATTGTGCTTTTTATTTGGGGTTCTGTTTGTTTTTTGTTGGTGTATAGAAATGCAACTGTCTTTTGCACATTTGTTTTATATTCTGAGCTTTTGCTAAAGTCCTTTATCAGTGCAAGAAGCCTGGGGAACATAGCGAGATCCTGTTTCTTAAAAAGAAAGAAAGAAAGAAAGAAATTTTATTGTTTAATTCCATGTATTTACTAAAGCTGGAAAGGCTTTATGGGATTTTGGGGTTCAATCTTTAAAATAACCAACAGTGATTTTGTACCTCTCTTTTGAGAAGATATAGTAGAAGATGACTGGTTGTGATTTGGATGTTTGGGATCCAAGGAAAATAATAATGGTTATTGCCTACTTTTTTTTTTTTTTTTGAGTTAGAGTCACTCTGTCGCCCAGACTGGAGTGCAGTGGCTGCTCCCAGCCACCGCAGCCTCGACCTGCTGGGTTCCAGCGATCCTTTTGCCTCAGCCTTCCAAGTAGCTGAAACTACAGGCATGCGCTACCACACCCAGCTAATTTTTTGATTTATTGTAGGGATGAGGTCTCGCCAAGTTGCCCAGGCGGGTCTCGAACCCGCGGACTCAGACAATCCACTCACCTCAGCCTACCAAAGGTGCGGGATTACAGGCTGAGCCACCGAGCCCGGCTTAATGCCTACTTTTTAAAACATTTAAAGTGGGAGGAGTAAGTCTTTTTGAAGCATCTTTCTCTCAGAAGGGCTTCTTACCTGTTTTACCTGTTCTAGGAAGTAGGATCTTGACTGTGGCTGTTGAGAGGGTCTGCTCATTTAAACTGAGTATTTCTCAAAGGAATTTATTTCTTTACGTTAGCTGCAGAAGAGAATGACCGAATTCACTTTTTAGACTCTATATCTGATTTTTATAGTGTTAACTTCATCATGGATATCTAAATAGTATGATTAATAATATATGGTATAATTTTGTTTTCTTTTTTTTCAAGTTGGGATCTCACTCTGTTGCCCAGGCTGGAGTGCAGTGGCGAGGTCACAGCTTACTGCAGTCTTGACCTCCAGGGCTCAGGCAATCCTTCTATCTCAGCCTCCTGAATAGTGAGGAATACAGGTGTGGGCCACCATATTTGGCTTAAAATTTTTTTTTTTTTTGAGATGAGGTCTTGCTATGTTGCCTAGACTGGTCTCAAACTCCTGGGCCCAAGCAATCCTTCTACCTCAGTCTCCCAAAGTGCTGGGATTATAGGCGTGAGCCACCTTGTTAAGTCCATTTTTTATCTTTTATACCATATTTTATTGTACCTTTTCTATGTGTGGATACACAAATACTTACCATTGTGGTACAACTACTGATAGCTTTCGGTGCAGCAACATGCTGTACAGGTGTGTAGCCTGGGAGAAACAAGCTTCACCATTTAGCCTAGGTACAAAACAGGTTATAATGGCTAGGTTTGTGTAAGTGCACTCTGTGATGTTCACATAATGATGACATTGCTTAATGATACATTTCTCAGAATGTAGCCACCTGGTTAAGAGAAACATGACTCTCATTTTAAAAATTTGATTTACAGATTCCAAGTCACACTCTGTACACTCATCGACTCCTTGCTTGGTTTCCACTGAATGATCTCTATTGCACATCTGTTCATATCAGTGCATATACTTCTGCCTTATTCTGTTAATAATTACATAGCATTCTATAACACAGATAGAAATACCAAATGTCTAATAGTTGGCTCTTAATAAAAGACAACTAGATGGCTAAGAAAATATTCCAGAAATCTTGTCCATGTACAGGCGTATCTGAGGAAAAACTCCTGAAAGTAGAATAAATGGTTTTCAGGATATGAGCATTTAATTCATGAGAGATATTGCAAAATTGTCCTTTAAGGGCTCACAGGGAAAACAAGTCACTTCCTAAGTTTGTGAGTCAGCAGGTTTGCTGAGACACAAAACATCAAGTGGAAACTAAAGGTGTTGAACGTGTGCATTTCTAGAGTGGTTTCCTCTAACGGTGCCCTGTTCTGGTTTACTCCTTAGACCTCCCCAGCCCTTATTTTCTGGCTGAGCCCACCGAGCTCTCTCTTTGTTCCACTGAGGGTTTCTCAGCACCTGGTAAAACTCTGTTTTTAGTCACCTCTTGATTGGAAGCCAAAGCACAAAGCCAGTTAGGCCCATGAGCAGGAATTACCTGTTTCTCAGTCAACCTCTGGGTGCCAGAACGGTCTGTGAGTTCCCAGTTATTTTCTGGGGCCTCTCACTCAGCATGCAGCCCTTCCTTGCGGTTTGGTGGGCGCTGTCCAGAGGAAGAGAGAAAAACAGACGCCCTTGCATTTTAAGTGGCAAACTTAAAACACAAAAGAAAGCAGGTTAAGGAGTATCACAGGGTGGGTGTGGGAAGAGTATTTATTCAGCAAATACTTATTGTGCGTCTACCCTGTGCCAATTCAACGTACCAAGGTACACAGGGTGTGCGTGGGACTGGGAGTTGTTAGGCACCCGGCAAGACACAGTGCCTGTATGGGCCTCCTGTTCTGGTCACATGTATCAGGAATAGGTAGGAATCCCCGTCTGTACCTTGTCTCTCGATTTTATTCCCCTCAGAGGAAGGCTTGCTGGTCTGCTCCCCTCTAAGCCAGGCTGATTGGTAAAGAAGTCTAACTGTGGACAGGAAGCTGTGGTGGTTTTGAAAATCTGAGTGGAAAAGGGATTTTAGGCCTGGAGCCACTGCCCAGGAAGTGACTCACCGACCTGCGATGT